CATCTCAGATGATGTAATAAGATTGAAGCTCTTCCCTCACTCACTGGCTGATAAAGCTAAAGAGTGGTTGAACTCCCTTCAATCCAACTCCATCACTAATTGGCACACATTGGCTGAAAAATTTATCATGAAATTTTTCTCATCCAACAAGATATTGCAAACCTGATGTGATATCACCAACTTCATGCAGAAGGATGGTGAGACCCTAGTGGATGTGTGAGAGAGGTTTAAAATCCTTCTTAAGCAATGTCCCAACCATGGCTTGCCCTCTTGGGAAGTGTTGCAAACCCTTTACAACAGCCTTAACACCCAAAACAGAGCCTTAGCAAATTCTGCAGCTAATGGAATGTTTATGTCCATGTCCTTTAATCAAGTCCACGAGTTGTTAGAACAAATGACTCAAAATTATGCCCAATGGCCTGAAGAGAGAAATCAGTCAAGGAGAGTGGCTGGTTTACATGAGGTAGATCCAGTAACAGCCCTTTCAGCCAAGTTTGATGCACTATCCACTTTAATAAAACCCAAGGACAAGCCATTGAGGCAAGGTTGTCTCAACCTCAAGTTCCAGTACCCAACCTCAAGTCAATGCTGTGAACACAGGTGAAACTTGTGTTTTCTATGGTGGGCCCCATTTGTTTGGTAGCTGCCCATCCAACCCAAAATCTGTATACTATGTGGGGAACCAAAATAATTTTTCCACTAATTTTAATCAAGGTTGGAGGCAGAATCAACAGCCCCAATATTTCCAAGGGCAAAGGCAGCAAGCTGGACCCTCTAATGCCCAAACCATACCACCTTTTCCTCCTCAAAATTTCCAACAACCTCAAAGGCAGCAACCTGTTGCTCAGTCTTCTGCACCATTTACTCAAAACCAAGCTGGTGAGATGTCTACCTCTTCTACCTCTTCCTTAGAGGCTTTGTTGAGGGAGTATTTGGTTAAGAATGAAACTAAGCAAAACAGCTTGGAAGCTGTTGTGCAAAGTATTCCTGCATCTTTGAGGAATATAGAATCCCAACTTGGCCATTTAGCAAATACTATGAATAGCAGGACCCCTGGTACCTTGCCTAGTAATACTAAAGAGCCTAGGAGAAATAATGAGCAATGTCATATGATAGAGCTCAGAAATGGCAGATCTGTGAATCAGCCAGAAGCTGTGGTTAGACCTTCCACATTAAAAAAAAGAGAAGAGGAAAAGGTGCTGCAAGGAAAAAAATTAAATTCTGAACCTGTTCAGAATTCTTTTGTCCATAACAGCCCCCAAGGGGCTGAGAATAGTGAGCCCCTGCCTTTTCTGGTTGAACCAGAAATTCAGACCCCTATTGACCCACCTTTAGGAAATATTTCCATGGAAAAACCCAATCAAAAGGGTCAAGCATTTAAGCCCAATGTTGAGACACCAGTTGTCTCAAATTGACCCCCACCACCTTTTCCCCAAAGGTTGCAAAAACAGAAGCAAGACAATCAGTTCAGGAAATTTTTAGACCTCCTAAAGCAGTTGCATGTCAACATTCCATTCGTGGATGCATTGGAACAAATGCCCACTTATGTGAAAATCATGAAAGAAATTCTTTCAAGAAAAAGAAGGCTAGAAGAGTTTGAGACTGTTGCTCTTACACAAGAGAGCAGTCAATATTTGCTTAGTAAAATACCTCCCAAATTAGGAGATCCAGGAAGTTTTACAATCCCATGCACCATAGGGGACCATTACATAGGCAGAGCATTGTGTGATTTAGGTGCTAGTATAAATTTAATGCCTATGAGTGTTTTTAACAAGCTGAAAGTGGGTGAGCCAAATCCTACCACTGTAACTTTACAGTTGGCTGATAGGTCCCTGGTTTATCCTGAAGGGAAGGTAGAAAATGTCTTGGTGAAGGTAGATAAATTTATTCTACCGGCTGATTTTATTATTTTGGACTATGAGGAAGACCGAGAGGGTCCTATAATTTTGGGAAGGGCTTTCTTAGCCACTGGTGGGGCTGTAATAGATGTTAAGGAGGGGGAGTTGGCAATGAATGTGAATGGGGATAAAGTTAAGTTTAATATCTTGAAAGCCATGAAATACCCGAGGGATGTAGAGGAGTGTGCTAGGATGGATATCATAGATTGTGTGGTGAAAGAAAATTTTTTTACATGAAACTTGCATTGGACTCAATGGAAGTTTCTGAGTGTGAGGGTCTAGAGTTAAGTCACACTGATTCAGATGAAGTTGTGAAATGGCTAAATTCCATATCTGAATAAGTTTGGAAAAATAAAAAATTTGAGTCATTAGAATTAGCCAAGAGGATTAAAAATTCCCAAACCCTCAATTGAAGAACCTCCTTTGTTAGAGCTCAAGCCTCTGCCTAAACATCTTAGGTATCCTTATTTAGGAGAAAAAGACAATTTGCATGTCATTGTGTCTAATTTGCTCACTGTTTTGGAGGAAGAACAGCTGCTGGCTGTTCTAAAAAAAATTAAGAGGGCTATAGGTTGGTCTTTAGCAGATATAAAAGGCATTAGCCCCTCTTACTGCATGCACAAAATTCTTTTGACTAACCCAAACAGCAGCTCTAGGGAGCAGCAAAGGAGACTTAACCCAATTATAAAGGAGGTAGTCGAGAAAGAGATTATTAAGTGGCTGGATGTTGGGGTAATATACCATGTTTCTGACAGCATCTGGGTCAGCCCAGTGCAGTGTGTCCCTAAAAAGGGTGGGATCACTGTTGTGGAAAATGAAAAAAAAGAGTTGATACCCACTAGGACTGTCACAGGTTGGAGGATCTGTATGGATTACAGAAAACTCAACAAAGCCACTAGGAAGGATCATTTTCCCTTACCTTTTATAGACCAGATGTTGGATAGATTGGCTGGTAGGGAGTTTTATTGTTTTCTAGATGGCTACTCAGGTTATAATCAAATAGCCTTAGCCCCTGAGGACCAGCCAAAAATCACTTTTACTTGTCCCTATGGCATTTTTTCCTTTAGGAGAATATTCTTTAGGTTGTGCAATGCACCAGCCACCTTTCAAAGGTGCATGATGGCTATTTTTACAGATATGATAGAGCAATTTGTAGAAGTCTTCATGGATGACTTCAGTGTTTTTGGTGACTCATATCAAAAATATTTGGATAGTTTGGGAAGAGTGCTAGAGAGATGTGAGGAGACAAATCTTGTCCTCAATTGGGAAAAGTGTCACTTTATGGTGAGGGAAGGCATAGTTCTAGGACATAGGATCTCTAAGGCTGGTTTAGAGGTTGATAAGGCCAAGATAGACCAGATTGAGAAACTGCCACCCCCCTTAACATAAAGGGAATTAGATCCTTCCTTGGACATGCTGGTTTTTATAGGAGGTTTATAAAAGATTTTTCAAAATCTTCTAAGCCTCTTAGTCATTTGCTTGAAATCAACATCCATTTCCATTTTGATGAGGCTTGTCTTAAAGCCTTTGAGGAGCTAAAACAGAAGTTGATTTCTGCTCCCATTATAATAGCCCCGGACTGGTCACTGCCATTTGAGTTAATGTGTGATGCAAGTGATTGGGCAGTGGGGCTGTGTTAGGACAAAGAAAAAATAGAGTTTTTCACTCTATTTACTATGTCAGCCGAACCTTAAATGGAGCCCAATTAAATTACACAGTGACTGAAAAGGAACTTTTGGCTGTGGTGTTTGCCTTTGACAAATTTAGATTATATTTGGTAGGCACCAAGGTCATTGTGTATACTGACCATTCAACCATTAAATATTTGGTGGAAAAGAAAGATTCAAAACCTAGGTTAATTAGGTGGGTCATTCTCCTTCAAGAGTTTGATATGGAGATTAAAGATTGGCAAGGAACTGAAAATCAAGTGGCTGATCACTTGTCTAGGCTGAATGAAGGGTAGCAAGGTGAAAGAGTAGTTGAACATGACATTAGAGAAACTTTTCCTGGTGAGCAACTATTTTTGGTTGCCACTAGCACAACCCCATGGTATGCTGACATAGCGAATTACTTAGTTAGTGGGGTGCTGCCTAAGGATTTGAGTTACCAACAAAGGAAAAATTTGATGCATGTTGGTACAACATTGAGAATTTTCCGGTTATTAGGACTCATGTTGTACCTTTATTTTCTGCATTTTTAGTTTCTGTAATTTGAATATTCGTTTGCTGTTTGTAGCTCAATCCTCATGGGTATGAGCTAATTTTCTCAAGGTTGGGTGTAGGTACTCAAACCACAATATGGATGTTTGTTGATTGATTTTGTTAAAAGTTAATTCCCTTTTGTTTAATGTTGTGCTTGCAATTAAATAGTCTGTTATTAAGGCCTGATGATGGATTTTATTTTAGGAATTAGTCATTGAGAGATGACTAAATCTGGACATGTATTAAACACATGGACTTGAGTGTGAGAGCATTCAAGGGCTGTCACTCAGAGATGAGGACAGCCACCATGTAATTTTTGGACTGGATTCATCTGAGTCTTTGCTTCATTTAACATAGAGATATGCAGATGTTGTTTAGGACAGAACGATTTTAAGAGATTAAAATCAATAAGAAAAGATCCATTAACTGGGAGTTAATTTTTAATAATTTGTAATTAGCATTCATTCAGTGGCCCTTGGGAAGGGGAACCGAAACTCAACCTATTTCTACAACTTATTTCTCAACAACTCAAATTTCTTTTCATTTGATTTCCAATATCTCACTTTTAATTATGTTTACTAATTTCTTTATATAAAATCTCTTTCAATCAAATGTTTAATTTGCTTTCTTTCCATTTCCCAATCTTCAGCTCAAGAAATCAAATCTTAAAATATAAAAAAAATTATTTAGAGTCATTGATCAGTAGCATTTTAACTCAGTTTTGAGATCAGTTAATTTCTTTTTATTTTTACCCAATTTTTAGATTAAATTCAGTTTTAGCAATTACAAAGTTTAGTCAAGTTACACACACTAAAGATCCTTGTGAGAACGATATTAGGGTCTTAAATACGCCCTGTATTACTTGTTGTCGCGTATACTTGCGCGCTCGCTTGCATAACTGTTAGCAAGGCAACAATAAGCTGTCATTATTGTCTATCAAACCTTTTGCCAGTAGATACTGGACAACAAAAGCCCTTGGAATGTTCCTTTTCTCCAAACTATTGCCAAGAATACTTATTCCTTTGACAAGGGCCAGGGCATCCCAACCCAACTCATTCACCCAAAAACTCGTCACAGCATTAATTTTATCACAAGATACTAACATACAATTAGGATTTCTCCCAAATGCTTCATGAATGTTTTCATCAGACCAACCCCACTTCTTAAAGACATCAACTTTCTCATCCCACTTGGATTCTTTGACAGTATGTTTGGCAAGCAATGCACCACTAAAAGCTGACTTTGAAGTTGAAGGGTTAAACCCCAATTCCTTTAATTTCTCCACCCGCTTGAGCAATTGAGTTGATGAGAATATACTAGGCCATTTAAGAAGCAATATGGCAATGTTTGAATCAGAAACTCCACAATCAATCAACAATTTATCATTATGTCTCATCTAACTACTACTAAAGGAAAGCATATTGCGGATTATACAAGCCAAGGTCTCCTTTATCAGATGGTAAGAATCTAAGCATCAATTCATATGTAGGGACTATATGATTCTCATGGCTTCGGCGGAGGAGTCTCGGTGTCTTGGTTATTATGAAAACAATGTCAGAGGAAGAAGCACCTTTGAAGAGTAAAAATTGAAACTTTGGCACAACCCTTTTGTTGAGGTTGCAAGAAATTAACCATGACTCCCTTGTAATGATATGATCCAAGTGGGGTTTTGAGAAACCCCATTTTCTGAACAAGTCAAAAACTGAATCGGGCTTCTGGGAGGCGTCGAAACGAGCTCCTTTGGAAGCTTCGAGAGAAGAATCGGGTGAGAAAACAAGATTGATGATGATGTATGAAGAAGAAGCGTTTGTGCATAAAGAAGGGAAAAGTACATTGAAGGGTTGGTGATAAGTTATAGAATGAAGAGGAACGAAATCTTTTGTGAGAAAAGAGAGAGGATTCAGATCAATGAATCATAGATAGATAGCCTCCATTCACGATTGAAGGAAAAACTTTCAAATTTTGAGAGGGAACGTTGAACTGAACTGCTTTTATTTGGAACTGAAGATCGATAAGCTGGAGATGAATAGGGTTATGTCTGAGGGAAACAGATACCAAAGTGCCACTATTTCACATCTTATTTCTCGAAATGTCACGCCAACAGTGCTATTTCCCAATCTGCCACATCGGCAAGTTCGCTGGGAGAAGAAGCGAACTCGGTGGGATGATGTGTCACGTTTCTGGTGGACACGTAGTTCACCTGTGTCAGTAGCGAACTCTGCAGCATTTATTTCCCTGCACGTTCCCACCTGCCAAGTCATGTGGCTTGCATGCAACGAAGGTCGCTGCCAAAGTCAACGAACTACGTGTAACAGCTAGCATGCCACTTGGCTGAAATGCACCAAGTCTGCTGAGGTGGGCAGCGAACTTGGTGCAACAGCTATATTTCAGCACCCTATATAAACCTACCCCCTATATACTGAGACAGTATTGCCACAAACATTCACAAGTTTACTAAACAAGTTACAAAATGAACACTGCTTCAAATAAGGTTTTAACACGATAACGAAATGAAATAAAAACACGCATAAGTAAATACATATAGAAAAACAAGTAACAACACGCAAATGATTGACATAAGGTTCCAAACAACAAGTTATATGACACGATAACGAAAGCGTTTATGAGCCTTGCTGTCGAGATGGACAATGACGTCTGTCAAGGCAAACAACGTCTGTCATGGCCAACAACTCTACAATAATCACATCTTGCGCGAGGAATCACACCTTCGTGCTGATCTATCTCATTATGGATGCGGGTACTTCGTGGCCTGCCTTTTTTACGTCTCAGTGAAACATTCAGGAGTATGATTGGCCCTTGGCTTGGTGGTATAAAATCTTCATTGCCAGTTGGGTACCATTGTCCGAAATATACCCGACATTGATATGATGCAGTATATGCTACATCAATGTACTATAAGGGGTCATGGTTAACTGATTTGCATGCTGCAATTACATGACTACATGGGTACCTGAAAGCAGTGAACTCTTCACACTAGCATGCCCGATCAGTTAAAGAAACCCATCATTTCTTTCCGCCTCGGTGAGTTCTTTGATTATAAGACTCTTGAACTTCAAATCGTGTTTTCTGTCTGTCGTATGAGGTCCCCAGTGTGTTGCAGCCTTTTGTTGGCAATCAACATATTTTACCCAGAAAACTTTGGCGAAACGATTACCTCTGTCCATCTCCTCTCGAGCCTCCTGGCCATGTGTTAAAAATTATTGATTTAGCCTGGCGTATGTGATGCGAACCAAAGACGTGATAGGTAGGTTTCTGGAACCTTTAAGGACCTTGTTCACACACTCTGACAGGTTTGTAGTCATGTGGCCAAATCGTCTTCCTTCAGCATCATAAGCAATACTCCACTTCTCCTTCAGAATACGATCAATCCATGCTGCAATTTGTGGGCTTGTTTCTTTAAATTTTTCCAAACCAGCATCAAAATCTAACCGCGAAGTTGTATAGCCTTTTCATTAAAACAAATATGAATAACATTAGTAACATGTTAAAGTTGAGACGCACTAGAAACATGTTCTGCACAAAAACCATACCTAACTTCTTCAACTGCTTCTTCAACATGACATTCTTAAACTTATGATTGAAATTACTTGCGACATGTCGAAGGCAAAACACATCGTAAGCTTTTGGTGGTTGCCACCCTAGGTCAGCGTTATTGACAGCAGTCAAGATGCCAATATGTCGATCTCAAACAAGACATATTTTGTCTTTCTGAGTGACATGGATTCGCAACATAGCCAGAAACTAGGACCAGTTATCAATATTCTCTGTAGAAACAACAGCGAATGAAACAGGAAGAACGTAATTGTTACCATCAATGGCTGTAGCAATCAATAGTGTTCCGCGATATTTCCCATACAAATGTGTCCCATCGATCTGGAGCATAGGCTTGCAATATTTAAAAGCATCACAACACTGCTTGAATGTCCAAAATACCCTTCTGAAAACCTTGTGCGAACCATCGAGACGACCGTCAATCCTATGATCATTCACGTCAAGCTTATAAGCAGAACCTGGAGAAAACAACAACATATAATCTAACCATCTCGGAAGAAATGCGTACGACTCATCTCAATCCCCAAAATCCCTGACAATAGCCTTTTGCTTTGCTTTCCATGCCTTTCTGTATGAGATATGAAATCCTAGACTTGATGCAATCCTTTCCTGGATTAGACCAATTTTAACACTTGGCTCTTCCTGTATCATTTCTGCGTTTTGTGAAAGAAGAAGACATTAGCCATTACGCAATATTTAGCTTATAAACACAAAGGCTAGTTGACTTACCGATGATCAATGAACAAATGAAATTTGAGTCGAGTTGTTTGTGATCTTGAGAAAGTGAATGACTAACACATATGTGGGTGTTGTTCCATATGCCTATAAACCATTCAGTACCGCCTTTTTTTTATATGCCCCTTTCCTCCATGAACATCCGTCATTGTGTTGTTGACAAACCATTATCTTCCTTTTCGTATCACTTTTTTCCACGATGGCTGTGTGATGTTCAGCCATACATTATTGTTTTATTGCCATCAGTACATCCTGCTTGCTTTCAAACACATGGTCCTTATACAGCTCTTGACCCATCTGCTAGTTTGGTATTTGTGCCCCTTGCATTTCGTCACACTCCTGATCTGGGTGTTTCCGGTTAATATTCGTGTAATGGCTTATTTGTGACCAAAACGGTATAGTATCCTCTCCTGTATAAGCCGAACACATGTCATTACTAATACCATTTTAATTAAATTAAAAACCACCTTACAAATAGGGGTGTAAATAGGCTGGCTAGGCTAGGCTTTGACTTAGATAAGCTAGGTTTGTGTAAAAAAGCGTTGTGCCTGGCCTAGCCTATTAGCCTATGTAGGCCCCAAATTACAAGTCTGCCCTGACCTATTTTTAAAAAATAAAAGCCTTGACCTTGGCCTGTTAGCCTGCTTAAACCTATTAAACATTCAACAATTAAAAGAATAACTAAAATAATATTATTTTATTATTCAAAATTATTAAAATAATAATTTTAATTATTTTATTTAATATAAATAATATAATGTAGGCCGGCATGTAGGCTTATAGGCTCGACATGTACTAAAAAGCCTATGGCCTATTTTCTAAATAGGTTTTTTTAAAAGTCTAGGCCTGTTCTATTTTACTATTTGTAATAGTCCAAGTCTGGCCTAATATAGGCTAGGCCGTAGGCCCCTACAGGCCGGCCTAGCCCATTTACACCCCTACTTACAAACCACTCACCTGCCACTGGTGGTGGGTCATGCTTTCCAACAATGCACGGTGATGGAATCGGTTGACACAATGCACTAGACGGCTCCCTTTCGAAATCACCATCAACGTCTGTATCTGATGACTCACTATCAGGAACAAGACCTTCATCAACCTCTTCCTCGGAACTATCAGTACGCCACGAGGGATCATACATGTCATGGGCAGGAATCACATCTGAAGGCATTGTTAGTGGGGGTGATGGTGGCGGGGATGGTGACACATGCATATCTTCCGCACTATCTAGTAGCTCCCGGTTAATGTCTATGTCGTAACTGGTCGGGACGAAGATTTGAGTGCTTGCCTCTCCACCAGTGTTTAGTTCCGCATAAAACTCGATGTATGACGATTGTCCATGCTATCGAAATGCGTCAACTACTAACGAGATATCTTCATCCTCCACAACCTCCACAGAAATCCACTGCACCGGGTTACCGGAGGCGCATCTAGAAATCAGTCGAGAGAGGGACTGACCACGTTGTAATCTCAACTGCTTGTATATTATTTTCTTCAGGTCATTATATTTGCAACGGGTGCTCATGCGGAACATCTTTGTATCTCCTTCGAACACTTGACCGTTCGATCCAAAATAAATCCTCCTATTGTAATATAAAATGGCGATTATATTATTCATACTATAATTCATTTTGTTGTGAAATTAGACAGAAGTAGCAAAAAAAACTTTGGTTTCTTTCAGCAACAATCGCACCAGAAGAATACATTGCAAGTGGGAAGAGGGGGTGGGTTTAAATAGCAACAAGTTCGCTATAAGGGCCAGCGAACTGTAACTGTCGGCAGGTAGTTCGCTGGCCCATGCAGCGAACTAGCAAGGAGCTGCCACGTGTCACCAAGTTCGCTGCATGGTTCAGCGAACTTGGTCAGATGTTGCCACTTGTCACCAAGTTCGCTAGTCCTGTCAGCGGACTCTGGGGGTGGTGTCATATGGCACATAGTTCGCCTTGCCCCTCAGCGAACTATGTGCATGTGAGACAGATGTCACACATAGTTCGCCTTGTCCCCCAACAAACTTGTCCAGCGTATCAGGATTAAATGTTGCAGAGTTTGCTACTGACACAAGCGAATTACGTGTCCACCAGGAATGTGACACATCATCCCACAGAGTTTGCTACTTCGTTGGGCGAACTTGCCCTCGTGGCAGGTTGGTAAATTGCACTGTTGGCGTGGCATTTAGAGAAATAAGTTGGGGAACAGTGGCACTTTGGTCACTGTTCCTATGTCTGAGTAATTGTTCGGGCTCTTTAACCAATTGGTTTTTTTTTGAGATTTTAATTTATTAATTTGGTATTTGATTCACGATATTTACCAATGAGGGTCATTTAGTGACGCGAGGGGGACCCAGCGTCACTGAGTGCCGCTACCCTCTCCCCGCGTCACTTACATTCTTTTTATTTTTTTCAATTGAGTGACGCCCCCTCCCCTGGGGAACTCACAGAATTGTGCCAAGTGACACAATCTCATTAGTCCTATTACCGTAAAACTTCGGAAAGCCATAACTTTTGACTCAGATATGCAAATCAGATATTTTTTTATTTCACATAACTTTTCGAGATCTACGCAATGATATCTCATTTGACATATTTTATCTTCCATTAACATAGTTCAAATTTGTAACAATAGTTCCATTTTTTTTACAGATCTGAACTATGTTTCTGAGATAAAATATGTCAAATGAGGTGTCATTGCATAGATCTCGAAAAGTTATGTGAAATAAAAAAATCATCTGATTTAGATACCCGAGTCAAAAGTTATGATTTTCTGAAGTTTTAAGGTAACGAGACTAACGAGATTGTGCCACTTGGCATAATCCTGTTAGTGCCCCAGGGGAGGAGAGCGTCACTAATTGAAAAAAAAATAAAAAAATAAAAAAAATGCGAGTGACGCGAGGGGTGAGGGTAGTGGCACTCAGTGATGCTGGGTCCCCCTCGCGTTACTAAATGACCTTCATTGGTAAATATCGTGAATCAAATACCAAATTTATAAATTAAAATCTCAAAAAACCCCAATTGGTCAAAGAGCCTAATTGTTCGTCTTATCCAAGGAAGCACAGACACTTGTAAAAACAGGAAGAGTCGGGTCCGACACAGCGACACGCTCCGACACGGTGTCGGACACGCGGTTGACTTTTTCCGACACGTTGACTATTCCGACACGCGAATTTGACCGTATCCGACACGGTCAAATGGCATTTTCGTAATTTTTTTTATTTTTTTTTAATTTTTTTTTAAAGTTAAAATATATTAATAAAGCTTCAACCTGATCATATCAATTTTATCTTTTTGTCTTTTTTCCCCTTAAGTAGATAAGAGATCATCTCAGCATCATTGTTGTCAATTCCTATCACGCTCTTGTTGTATCTTCTTCTCTCTGATCTCTCTCTCTAATATGATTTGATCTCTCTATCTGATATTATATATCTCTCTCATCTCAGTTCTTATTTTTTTATTAAAGTTTTCATCTTTATAACATGTTGATGGGTATTATTAATTTAGTTTTATTTTTTTGTTAAATTATTAAATATTAAATGAAATGTACACAATATAAATTAAAAATATTATTTAATATTAAAACGTGTCCCAACGTGTCGAAATCCATAATTTTTTAGGATTGACGTGTCGGAGTGTCGTGTCACGTGTCGCGTGTCGTATCGGTGCTACATAGGTCTTATCCTTTTAATTTCAAAATTATTAATAAAATTTTTGCGTTAACATACAAATTATTAGTATCAGTGTGATATTAGTTTAGATTTAAAAATAAATTTAAAGAAATAATATTTTTATGGGAGAATTGTTTGTCATTTTAAATGACACAATTTTGTGTTATTTTTAACTAAATTATGTTGTTTTGGTATGTTTTTGCATTCTTTTTCCTCAACTTTTTTTTTTCTTCTAATTTTATAAAAAAAGAAAAATTGTACAAAAATATAAAAAACACACTAAAATGCAGTGTTGTAAAAATCGGACCGGACCGGTCGGTTCAACCTGGAAACCGGTCGTGTGACCGGTCCGGGTAGCATATTGGATCGGACTTGCAAGTGAACCGGTGTGAACCGGTTTGACTCTCGGCCGAGTTTTTCTAAAACCGGTGACCCGCCGGTTCAAAAAACACTCGAAAAAATCAGATCGAAGGCACAACCTTAAGAAAAAAAACAGAAACGAAACCAGAAGAGAAAACCAGAAATGAAACCAGAAACGAAACAAGAAGAGAGAAACCATAAGAGAGAAAACCAGAACACAAATCAGAGAAGAGAAAACCAGAAAACAGACAAG